GCAGGATAAAGAGTAAATTAAATCGTAAATTAAAGTTGATCTACAATGGTAGATATGGACACATGATAAATCATTCTAAGATCATCGTGTAGGATAGTACTCTTTTTTTTTTCTTCGTGTATCTCTTATGTACAACCAGACGGACTCTCAGCTTTGATACCACGATCGATATGTATGGAAAACTCGAGAAGGGTGTTTCATGGCAACCTACCAAACAGGGTTTCTCCCTTAGGGTGATAACCTTTAAATCGCAAAGACACGCTATTCAATCGTGCCACGTTTGCTTTACTCTTTGTCTCATTATAAAGTTTTATGTTTTATAATTTTATTACGTACGCACATGCAATAATTTTTTGGAAAATTTTGTAAAGCCTGAGAAATCATGTACGAAAAGAACGATTTTATTGAAATATTTTAAAACTTAAATAGATGCAGATCCGAAAATAATTTTATTCGACATCAAAATAATTATGTAAGAAGCTGAATCATGATGAACAGTGGTGCAAAAGGTTCCGACGTTGTAGCAACTAAGTTGAGCGCCTTACATAATCATTTTGATAGTCCAACGGAATTATTTTTAGATTTGTACATCTAGCTTAAATACTTCAGTAAATCCATTCTGTCAATGTAACTTCTTCCTTAGGGCGGAAACAAGAAATGCATATACATATTTTTTATATGTATGAGAATTTTTTTTCAAAACTTTTTATCAACTTTTTAGCATTGCATCTTCGTATTGGCAACTCTTTTTACATGAGAAAATACGGTGTTAAAAAATTCTGAAAAAATTCTCAGAACTTTATGAGAAGAAAATAAGCAATTTTTATCTCTTGCTGTTTTTATGTAAAGTTGATAGTATTTAAGTAAAAAGTATTGTAAAACCAATATTTTTGCGATTTTTAGTAATTAATATCTTGTTAACTATTGCGAAAATTGCAAAATGGTAGAGGACTCTTCGACTCAGTTTAATCCATTCTATTTACACAAAAAGAGATCTAGAAGGAAAAGTTATAATACGATCGATATATCCTACAGAGTAATTAGACAATTTTGAGACATAGAACAAATTTGTGGAGGTCCTATATGCTCCAGTTAAGAGATTAATTAAGGATACATCGTATATACGTGTGATGTTAAGAGCCTTCGTTCCTAATCGGTAATACTTTTTTCTGGAGCGCGCTGTAATTGTCGATTAATCGTCTGTCACTACCGCGGGCGCCCAAGTCGGTCGGGCCGCATATTATTTGTGCCCCACATACCAACATTTTTACGGGGAACAACGGAGAGTTGTGCATGCGCGAGTGCCCCGAGCGTGGATCATAAATATGCGCAACCGTCATTTCCTTGCTGGCAATATTAGGTATGCCAATCTGCGAGAGAGGAAGGAGCAACCAGAACGCGACCGGCAATGGCGCGAGTCGTTTGCATAAATCATCGTCCTTTATTTATCTTGCCCGCAAGCTCGCTTCATTTTCCGCGCGCGCGTATATGTATCATTTTAATAGCTTAATAGCGTGTCGTGGATGAAACGAATCGTGGATGAACGGATCGCGATAGATCTGATAGTCCGAGATGGCGAACTCAAAGCACGTCTCCTCGGCGAATGAAACGGCGTGGGGGCCAGAGGGAACCTCCGCGATTTACAAGAGCCGCGTCAGTGTTTTCTTCCGTAAATTACCTACGCCTTCTTCACGGCGTGTTAACGCCAGGCCGACTCCACGATGAGTTCGCCGAGCACGTTGCGCAGACTCCGCGATCTAAAATACTCCCGTCGATCAATATCCATAAAACTCTCGCGTTTCTGATGTTAACACTCCAAGGAGAACAGTAAGTCACGGTAAATATTATCAAAATTATATCAAAATGACGTTAAGATGAATCGATAAATGATTGAAAAGTACGCGACTTTTAAGTGATCAGTTTCGACTCATTTTCACATCATTTTGATTTGTTCCATTTCCCAAGAAATATATATAAAAGTCAAGAAAAATTATTTTCAATTTTTAACGTAACTAAACGGTCAAATTTTGTAAAGAAAAAAAAAAGGGGGGAAAAAAATTACAATTTTGGCTTTCATGATCGCGTGAAAATAAAGTCATTTGGACTTTCTCTTTGCTTGGCGTGTTCCTCGTTTGATCGGAACGCGATTCTCTCGTCGCACGCGTCTCCTCTCACGAGGGATCTCGTTTGACGTTCATATCGCGTAAAGATCGCGTTTTCACGATGAGCAGAGGCGTAACGTAACGATATCAACCTGCGGTTGAAAATGAAGGATAGCCACGGGCGTGCCTGGCGTAAGAAATAAATTACAAAAAGTAGTATGACTTTGATGTGAGATAAATCGTATTAGATTACGATGACTACGTCTGGAGAAAAGCATGTCCAGTAGTTGTCGAACGAATCGTTTGCCGACCGATCATGCGGAAATCGCCGACGAAAATAACAGTAAGGTCATACTCGGTGATAAAATTTAATCGCGCCGACTTATCGAGCGCTTTTACTGTCTTTGTTTTTTTTTCCCCCGCGATTAATCGCGGATTCAAGAGTCAATGAGCGAAGGATGACCGGTCATCAGCGAGATGTTCCGTGAAAAGTTGCAGAGCACTCGAAAGGAAAGGATGATTTTACTGAAGTATCTAAAAATGTAGTTAGACATATATATAGATCTAAAGTAATTTTATTGGACCATCAAAATAATTACGTAGGAATCTCAAGCATGAAGAGCAGTGTTATAAAAGGTTTTAACATTCTAGCATCCAGCTGGAGTGTCCAACATAATTATTTGGATGGTCCAATCAAATTTTACTTTTCTTCAGATCTGTAGCTAAATTTTTTAGACTTCAACAAAATCGTCCTTCGTGTGTCTATTTCTATATCGAGAAGCAAGTCAATGCTATATACTGAAAGAAAAGTAAATTGAGTTTTTTATTATTTTTTTCAATTTTATTTTTCTCTATTTGTAATTTATTCCTTTTAATTGTGTGACAATTAAAAAAATGTCTTTGACTCTTATTTTACTCTCTATCTATTGTTATTTTTATTTTAAAAGAAAAGTGTTTGTGTGATATTTAACTACAATTGCATGGTAAAATAATTATGATAGAAGCTCCATTTTTATAATTATTACTGCTATAATGTTAGTAATAATTATATTTTTTTCAACTTTATACAGCATAACTGTAATTTTGTTTATCTGCACATACAAACAAATTCATGATCAGTTCCAAATATTCCAACTCAGTTAAGTATTTATATTATACAAACTATGACGTAGTATATAAGATAATAAAAGCTCGACGTGTTCGAGTCCAGTTTTCTGAACGTCAGCTCCTGTTATCAGGACTAAAAAGTGGTGGGGAGAGTAAGTGAACCTCCATTGTCCGAACCGTTTGGTTATCGGAATTGTTTTCCTGACAATTGTTTTCGAGTTTTACTACTGTACATACATATGTTTGTTTCTGAAAATCATTATAATTTTATAGTCGTTTTCGAGGACAACCATATATAAATAAAAAAAAAATATATAT